TGCATAGTAAGCACTTACTGTGTGCCAGGCACCGTGCTAAGGACTTTATCACGTAACAATAATAGTCCGTGCATAGTAAGCACCTACTGTGTGCCAGGCACCGTGCTAAGGACTTTATCATGTAATAGTAATAGTCCCCCCATAGTAAGCACCTACTGTGTGCCAGGTGCCATGCTAAGGACTTTATCATGTAACAGTACTAGTCCGCGCATAGTAAGCACCTACTGTGTGCCAGGCACCGTGCCAAGGACTTTATCAGGTAAGAGTACTAGTCCCCACATAGTAAGCATCTACTGTGTGCCAGGCACTGTTCTTGCTGGATAACAAGAGTAGTTCCCACACATTAAGCACTTACTGTGTGCCAAGCACTGTGCTAAGGGCCTTATATAAAAATGGTAATAGTTCTTATTGAGCACCTACTATTTGCACACATGCTGCCAAGGGCTTTGCAGATAATAATTCCACATTTTGAGCAAAAACTGTGTCCCCCAAACTATGCTAGGCCCTTTCAGACTGACAATCGCTCCCATCTGAGCACCTACTGTGTGCCTAGTGCCAGGCCAACCTCTTTAAAGAAAATGCTCCTTATTGAGCACTTACTGTATGCCAGGCATTGTGTGTCAAGGGCTTTGCAGAACAAGAATTGTAGCCCCCATGTTTGGGTACCTACTGTGTGCTGGCCCCAGGTTAAACTTGGTACAAACTACCAGAAGCTTCCATTCTTTGAGTGCCAACTCTGTGCCCAGCATCGTACCAATCCATGTTTAAATTTAAAACCACAGGTGCATTTATGGAGCACCTACTGTGTGCCGGGCAGTATTGAATAACAGTGATAGCGCCCACATATTAAGCACCTACTATGTGTTAAGAGCATCGTGGAATAACAGTCATGGTCTCCACGTGCTGAACACCTACTATGGGCCAGGCCCTGTGCTAAGGGCTTGACTGATAATAAACCTCACATTCTATGCTGCTTCTGCACGCCCAGTGCCCTAAGCCCTTTTCAGACTCAAAAATGCATCCCACTGATTATGCCTCATTTAATTCTCATGACCACCTAGGTGGCTGGAACTATCCCCCCTCCATCCCCACCCCATGTTCCTGGCGGGGGAGACCAATTTCAAAGCCCACCTGCCTGGTTTTCTATCACTGGTTGTGTACCTACTAGGTGCCGGCCCCCACCATCCTGGATGCTCTCCGCACATCACCTCGCATTTTATAGACAAGGAAATGGAGGCCTGCCCACGGGCACGTGGTGAGGGGGCAGCAGCGCCAGGGTTGGAACCTGGGCTCGGCTGAGGCCCACGGGCTGCCTCGCCTTGAGGCTGGGAATTCAGGCTTGATCAGCTCAGGCGAGCTGGGGATGGCTGGAGCCACACTCCCGCAACTGCCCCGACTCAAGCGTCCGCCTCGCCTGGAGGGAGGCCCAGAGAGGTCGCTGGCCATGCTCGGTGTCAAGGCACACACAGCCCTCACCATCATGCTTCCCAGTGGTTCACGGAGCACGCGTTTATCGAGTACTCCCTACGTGCGCACCGTGCCAGGGTCTGGGACCTGGATGCGTCAGAGGCCCCTGTCCTCAAAGATATTGGGCAACCAGAGACCCCAGCGGCCACTCCAGTGGCTTACTTCAACTAGAATCACCCTCTGGCCTCACTTATAGTGAAATATGCAAACTAGACATGGGGGGCCCCCTCCCTCATTTCTTGACCAGCCACCCCAACCAAAAGTGCCCGGGGGAATCAGGCAGAAACAGAAAAACCAACTGAGGAATGCATCGGGAGGAATGGATTCGCTGAGAAAGGGGGAGGGAAAAATAAAACCAAAACCATAATAAAACAAGAAACAACAGTGATGGTGATGATAATGAGAAAAACCATAATAAAAGAAAGAAAGACGCCTTCCAGAAATCTCCCAGTCTGGTTACCTACCTTCTACTCTTCAACTGCTAACTTATAAGACTTTCTTACGAGGGAGGGAAGGGCGGAAGGCTGAGCTACAAGGCCAGACCAAGCTCTGGGTGGGTCTCCGGACGCGAGCGGGCCTGCAGCCCTGCTCTGGCGCCCAGGGTGGGCACGCTGCAGTTCCGAGTGGCGCCGACGAGGCGGGAAGGTGGGACGGTGTCTGGGGAGACCCACGGCTGAGTGGTCTGGCCTCCACCTACCCTTGAATTCAGCCTAAGGAGCCCGCAGCCCCTGGGGACATACGCCTGGCCCTGAGTCTTGGCTGCCGGTTCTCTCGGGCCCCCCCGTCTCAGGGCGAGAAGCGGGGAGTCCCTTCTCCCCAACTCCCTGTCCTGGGCCGCCCCGGAGGTTCACGTGGCTGGGCCAAAGCCGCGTTCTCGGCGACCGTGGAGGCCGCCTCCTTCACAATCCGGCCCAACCTGCGTGGCATCTTGGAAGGGGGCGGGATGGGCGTGGAAAGAGACACGGACACGTGGCACGTGCTCCCGGACTCCCCATTTCTGAGCAGGCGTGCCTGTTGGCAAAGGGATCGAGAGCTCCGGGGGCTGAATTTGGGCTCTGGACTGTCTGTGCAGCCCAGAGCTGATGGGACAGGTGGGGCACGCAGGGTGGGCCGTTTTTGTGAACCTGCTTGAGACCAGCGCGTACTCACCTTCGCGACACCTGTGCCGGTCTCTCACGTGGCCACCCAAGCCACAGGACACCCTCACTGATCGCCTCGCGCACAAGCACGCCCAGACGCCTGCGAGCTGTGGAGCGCTCGGCTCGGCTCGGCGCGGGGGAGCGGGGAGGAGGGGAGGGGCCGGGGTGGTGGGGGTGCTGTGTCTCCGAGGCCCCTGATCCCAGCAGCTCAGACGCCCCGACCCGTGTTGCTGTCACTCTCGACTGACCCGTGACCCCCTGTATGCACACACCCAGGGAGGCTTGAAGGTTTGAACACCGAGGCTGCTTCCGGGACAAGGCCTGGGGTGGCTATGCCATGACTGACTGAGAAGGGGGAGGGGAGAAGGGCCACGACAGGAGAGGCCACGGCAGTGGAGGCCACGGCAGCAGAGGCCACGGCAGTGGACGCCACAGTGGTGGAGGCCATGGCAGCAGAGGCCACGGCAGCAGAGACCGTGCCGGGATGGGCTGAGCAGAAAGGAGGGAGCAGAGGGAAGAGGGGGAGGCAGGGATACAGCAGGAGGGGGGCCTGCCTAGGCTCTGAGCTGGGAACAGGCAGGGAGGGCGGTGGCAGGGCCACACGTGGCCCCGAGCCAGCTGCCGGCTGCAGTGTCTGGGCCACAAGGTGACTTGTTTGTGACAGGGAGGCCGGGCGGGCACAGCGAAGAACCCCAGGTATTCGAGAGCCCTGTACTGGCGCCTGGACACACCCACAACCTGGCGTCCGCTCTGACCCCCCCGCCCCTGCCCTCGGCAACGTCTGGGGGGAGAGAGGGCCACCTGGGGAGGTGGGCTCATCTCTGCACTCTCTGCTCTCTCTGGGAATGACGGGGTGCCAGCTGTGGCAGCCTCACGCACCCCTCTGAACGCCCGTGAAAGGGGCACAACGTGGCTGTTCAGTTAGCCCCGAATCTGGGGCGGGAGGAGGAGAGAGGAGGTGCCGTCAGCAATGACTCCTGAATTAGGCACAAAACTGCAAAACCAGCCATGTCTTATTCCCGGGGCTCCAGGCCCAGGGAGACGGAGAAACTAGCTGTGGGCACTCACTGCGCTGGTGGGGAAACTGAGGCACCGCCTGGGCGGGCACGTCCTTGACGTGAGGTCAAGGAGCCAGGTGGGGGCGGGGTCAGAGCGCACAGGGGCGGTCTGGGTGGCGGAGGGTCCCCCCGCGGGGAAGGGCGGGTCCGCGAGACACCTACTGGACTGCAGCGTGCGCTGCCGCACCACCGAGGTGAAGGCGCCCAGGCCCTGTGGGGAGCGGGCTGCCAGGCGGAACCAGTACTCCGTGTTGGGTTTGAGGTCCTCCACCACGAACGCCGTGGCCGGGTCGAAGGTCCTCGCGACCTGGGGGCGGGGCGGGGAGAGAGAGAGACAGAGAGACAGAGAGAGAGAGATAGAAAGAGAGACAAATAGAAATAGACACAGAGATAAGAGACAGAGAGACAGAGACAGAGACAAAGAGAGACAAATGGAGACACAGAGAGACAGGGATACAGAGATGAGACAGAGACAGAGAGACAGAAACAGAGAGATAGAGAC